AAAGTTCATTGTTTACATGCCCTTTTAACAATACTGGGAGGCAATTTCACGTACCTTCTGAATTTCTAAATGATCCAAGAAGGGATGCAGCATCCACAGGATGCAGAATCAATTTTCCCTTCAGGAGGTATTATACTAGGTACCACTGGCAATTTTTTACTGGCTGCTTGTCAAAGCAAAATGTGATGAAATGAGATAACTTTCACAGAATCATAAAATTGGAAAGGACCATTTATACCCTTAAATCAAGCTCTTTATGCTCAGTGCAGGAACCCAAATCAAAGCACCAAACAAATGGTTGCCCAGACTCTACCTGAAACATTCACTGCTACCATCTTAAATTTTAGGAAATCTAACCTCACGTTCAGCCCAAATCTGCCTGCTTATAACTAAGGCCATTATTCTGTATCCTGCACCCTGAGGCAATAGAAAACAGGTCTTGCCCTTCTTTTTTGCAATCCCCCTTCAGCTACTGGGAAACGCTTGTTGACATTCCCCTCCCAGTTCTCTTTTCCCAACAACTAGCCAATTTATTCACTACCTCCTCATAGAATTTAGTTTCCAGTATCTTCATCATCCTTACTTTCCCCCCCCCTGCACCTGTACCAGCTGTCTGAACTTTTCTTAAAGTGTGATACTAGGAATTGGACATGTCCTACCTAGTCTCTGACTAATAAAAAGAAAATGGAGCTGTTACTTCATGTGTATGAGAACTTATACATCTACTGATGCAATCTAAATTTGCATTTTGCCTTTTTAGAAGCCAAGTCATACTACTGACTCACATTTAATCAGTGATCAAATACAATTCCCAGATCCTTTTCACATGAACATAGGGGCTACAGTAAGTAATTCAGGCACTATTGTACTATGAGTCTCACAGTCAAGACACAGAACCAGTATGGTGCCATGGTTAAGATGCTGGACTGGTACTGAGGACACCCAGATTTTAGTCCATCTTCAGCCTTGGAAGCTCAGTGGGTGACTTTGGGCCAGTCACTGTCTCTCAGCCTAATCTGCCTCACAAGGTTGTTGTTGGGTAAATGGGAAAAGGGAGCACTATGAAACACAGGCTATAAATATAATAAATAAAACCAAAGGCAGGAAGCCATAAGGAAATGCAAAGAGTATTTCCAAGTCATCCTTGTGATTCAAAAAAAGAAAAGAAAGTAGCATATCCAACTAACATATCATCAAGATTTGAAATTATATTTGTAATAAAGATGTTATATATCTGGCATTTTCCTGTCAAATTGGACAAGCTTGGAAATTAAGCTGAATGCAGAAGCAAGAGTTCTGTTCAAGAAATACAAACAGATTCTGCATGATTATCACATTCTTAAAAATGTTGGAACTCAACTTTTACAGATCTCACAGCTAAATCATTTTCTTTGTTATTCTATTCATCATGATTTGTTGATACTTAGGACATGCAATTAGAAAAATTTTTGAAATACTGAAAGCAGACCAAATTGGACATTAGAAAAAGCACTGGTATAATCCTATAGTCTCTTATATCATTCAAGATAAATGGCATACTTCTGTAAATAGGATTAATACTTCTCTAATGATTCTCTAATAATCTTCTAGGTTAAGCAGTACTCTGAGATGGTGAACATTTCAGATGGAGTAGATGTATTTCTAGACAATTGTTAAAGGAACAACTGGTAACAAATCAGCTGTTCATGAACACTGAGGCATGAAATACTTCCTCAACACAAGAATCACACATTCTGACAAGTACTGTAATTTACATCAGATGTTTCAGCAGGATATTTTACAAAATATCAGTAGGCTATTTCAAAAGGTTCTGTCCATTATCATTTCCCTTTCTCCTCTTCTCTCCCCATCTTCACCATACAAGAGTTGAAGAATTAGAGGATTTTGAGCTTATTAGGTATGCTAATAGTGGAAAAGCTTAAAACATCCTACCACACATTTCATTTAGCACAAAAAAGCCAGAGTCAGCGTTAAGGTACTTGTCATAAATTATTGCCAATAATCCAGAAGCATTCCACTGGGCTGTGTCAGAGGGAGAGAAGGAAAATAGGACCACCACCTATACTCTTCAAAAGCCAATTTCTTCAGAAATTGATTTTGATTCTCCCCCACTAGGGACCTAAGAGCCACTCTAGTGAGCTACTGCAGGTGAGGCTAGGATCCTTCTAACATTAAGAACTGATACTGTAATGGTTTTGTTTTCTTTTTCATGCCCCATCTTATTTTTCTTTTGCATCATACCTTTCCAACAGAAGAAAATACATGTAGCTCAGGGTTGAACTGTGGAGTCCTTGGTACTCTCTGAGCTTGGCTGTTTGCTTGCAGACATTTCATTACCTGACTAGGTAATATCATCTGTGCAAGTGAGTGTAGGGGTTTGCTCCCTGTTTATATACAGTAGCTTGCCCTGCCAGTGGTGGTGGTGGTGGGGTGTTTCTCCTTGGCAGTTCCTTGATTAGGGCATTGTTTTCTGCTTGATTGTTTGTCTGAAGTTAATCCCTGCTTATCTGGGTGTAGGCTGCTGGAGAGGATATGTTCTGGGTCTTTTTCTTTTTTATTGTCTCTTTTGAAAGGTGTGTAAATGTGGTTTATCTCTATGG